CATGGAACAGGTCAACATGCATGCACCAGCATATATTTAAACCTTCATATACTGGCCACTGCAGTGCACAGGGCTCACAACCCTCCTGGCACATTATTTCAACCTGTGGGGAGGGGTCACCTGAAAACAACCCCCCTCAGGTACCCCTGGGTAACACATTGCTGTAGGCTCTATCCTTTCTGCTGTACATGGTGTTCATTGACTCTTACTGTTCTAAAAGTCAAGAGAACCCTCCTTCAAGCATCCCCGATAAATGATTGTATGGAGATAAACAATCATAGAGCAGGGTCATGTCACATCTGCAGTGTCTCTGCCCCATAGCTGCCCACATGCTGGAGCAATGTTTGCAAACAGGGAAGCCTGCCCGAAGCATATGGGTGCTTTCTGTCATCTGAATAGGTTGTCTTGGGTCTCAGGCTGTGTACAGACTAATGTAGTACACAACTGTAGTTTTTCCTCAATCCATGACAATTCGTCCTCAACATGCGGCTTTTGATCTAGATTTGTTCTAGATCCTGCCGTCCACAAGAGTGGATGTGGTTACTTGATACCATTTGAAACTCCCCGCCTTGATTAGATTATCAACCACGTCTGTTCCTGCACATGCCCCAGCTGAGTGAAGGAGGAAGTATATGCCCACTCACAACATCATTGGACAGGCCTGCATCTGTCTTCAGATGGACACATTGCAAGTAATGCAGAATCAATCTGCAACGAACTGTTGTTTTTTGGAATGAAACCAATTTCTCCAGAAGGAGTGAAAAATATGCAATAGAATTAGACTACAGGGCAGGGGGACAATCAGGCTACATTGATTCTAGAATAAAATTTGTATTATACAGCCTTGCTTTACAGAGAACAGTATTCCATACTGAAGGGCTGTCAGTGAAGGGGTCCTTGGTTTAAAGATAAGGAACCGTAAAAGGAACGAGCAGGAGGGGTCTTCAAGGTTTCCCCCTCAACACTGAGTGGCTCCTGGCTAGCAGACTGAGCTAAGACACAAGTTGTGAGATGTGTTGAATTTCTATTTAAATTAATTATTTACAGATTTGTGTCTTTGCATGTAAATCACCATATAAAAATTGGATGGCATTTCGGGGGGAGATGCAAAGTTTCTTTGGGGACAATGTCTAACTGGCCACCCTAAATCTAGAAGACTTATCACACAGGCTTCCCCATCTATGACGGTTATCTGAGCCTCCCTATGGTCAGTGATCTTTTGTACGAGAAGAGGGTAGTTAAACGTTCCTTTAATTTTATATGTGATATACTAGTTTGATGGTGTGCTTTAAACAGCATCCTGGAAGCCTTCCCACTGCTGGAGTTAACTCCCAATAACTTGGCCTGCCATTTTACACGGTCATTGGCTGACAGTTTCTGACAACAAAGGCCAAAATAAAGTTATGTCCACAACACAAGCAGAATAACAAATGTGTTTGCTTTTTTTTTTTTTGGTCACTAGAATCTCTGGCTAGCAACAATTAAGCTGGTTCCCTGCAATTTGTTCAATTAAGCAACCTTGAAAGGTGCCATTTAGCATTTGCAAACATTAAAATATGCAGTCACTTGCTTAAGCTTGCAAGCAGGTGTTCTAATGAGCATAATTAGTGTTCCCTCAGCTTAGAAAACAAACTGTTGGGGTTGTGGAGTTTGCCGCTTGTGAACATGCATATACAGACTCAATTATAAAATGACATTATTGACCGTTTTAGAAAACAAGGCTTCCATTGCCAGTAAGGAAGCCACTTGCAAAGGAACAGCAAGTGGTGCCACACAAGATTAGTTTCTTTTGCTTAACAGCTGTTCAGAGGGAGGATCCAATCTTTTGCAGTGCCAGTGCACCCCTCGACCTTTTCAAAACCTTACTTTAAGGGTTTCCTTTCAAATGCAGCTTTGATAAATCGCTTTCTCCAAGGAGAAGTGCTAGCTTCCAAACACGTGCACAAGGTACTGCTTTCCGTTCTAGAAATATGTGTGAAAATTAACAACGTTATTAATTTTATCCAAACCAGTACTGTCTTAAAAACAAGATCTATGCAAAGAAATGGGTTCTGAACAACAACAACAAAAATCTATCATGGGAACTGGGTGCTGGGAACTATAGCTCTATGAGGGACAAACTACAGTTCCCAGAATTCTTAGGAACAGCATGTGCTTTAAATGTATGGTGTGCAGGCAGCTCTCTTCTAGAAAAGTTTCTTTCGGGCGCAGCTCAAAACCCGGGCGGGGGGTGTCCATATTCCTTTCCCAACCACTTGGAATGTGTGGATGAACCTATTATCAGGCTAGCACAGGGAAACGCCCTCTCGTTCTATTTAAGCCATGAGTGGTATGCTCCATCCGTTGGTTCCTGAGGCAGAGATTTTCCCGCCTTTTCTGGGCAGCAAGCTATGTGGGTTTTCTGTTGAGAGGGAAGCAACTGTCACTCTGAGGGAAACGTTCTCAGAAGCAGTTTTGTGGGAATTCTCTTTGTAAAGGGGAACCTGTCTCAGAAAAAATAATAATGAAAAATATAGGTAGCGGCTTAGTTTTGCCCTAGTTTTCGAGCCAACTCTGCTTCCTATTTCCGACAAGTCACTTCAGGATGCCGAAGTTCCTCATGGCCCAAACACCAACCTCCCCTCAAACTTGTGTCTCTGAGTCCTCAGTCAATGCATTTCCTCCCTGTTCCCTATACAATTTGTCACTCAATACTAACACATTCACTGACTCCGAAATGTATTCTGAATGAGTGTAGCCTTTTGAATATTGCCAGCTGAGCAGGAAAACACCAGGCCAGCATGCTCTTCTGCCTTTTAAGATACTTTCGATATATAGAAATAAGGTGGTGGTAAAGCATCCATTTCTTCCTTTCTTTTTTATGTAGCTACTACCTTTCCTCAAAAAAACCCAACAACTCAAGTTCTTACATGGTTCTTACCTCACAATTTTGTGAGGTAGGTTAAGAAAATAGGGATTAGGCTAAGGTCACCCAGTGAACTTTCTGGCTGACTATGGCTAAACATGATCACCAGCTCATTGCCACAAGCAAGTCTAAACAACCTGCTTCTAAAAGAACCAGTTCAAAATTTGTCAGCCTCACTCACAATGCATGATGGTCCTTTCTCATAAAAATAATGCATCCATCTTATTGTTCCTTGGTTAAACTGAGCCATGCTTTTAGTGGGAGGATGAACAGGCATTCCTAGAGGAATGTTTTGCTTATTTGGTTTAGGATTTTGAGTAACCTTGCTGTTGCTCTGGAGGGATAGTTCGTTCCAGAAAGAAATGCCTTACGCATCTAGACAAAAATTTCAAGAAGAAAATCTACAAATGCTAGCGATCAGCCTGGCAGGGAATATCTTTGGCTTCCCTTGGGGCAGCTTTGGCTGGTGTTGAAGTGTTTGCTGCCGCCATGAAGATAACAAGGCATTTAAGTGAGATGAGAATTACAGGGTGTTTTGTAAACTGCAATGCCATGTAGAAAAATATAATAGTGAATAACAAGATTCTGCAAAAGAAACACAGTTCTCTGGTTCCCGTAAAAACTAATACACTTGTTGCAGTGTATAAAGCTTATTTGTGGCCATGAAAGCTGGATGCTACTATAGATTATAGCACTTTATACTTTTCATACTCCAGAAAACCCTGCTGTCATGACTGGCCCAAGGCCTTTTTATTACCTGAGGTGAACTACAAAATGGCACACACAAACCCCGCCAGGCAAGAAGCAGGGAGTAGAGATCTGCATCCAGAAAAGGGGCAGGGAATCAAATCAACCTTACCCTGTGGTTGAACTGGGAATCAATGGTCATTGTGGGGGGGGGGTGCTCTGAATCACACTGGGCTTAGCAGAGTTTAGGGACCCCAGAAGGCAGCCCCCACCATTTTACAGGGTCACCATGTTATAAAGGGGCTGTTAAGTACTTCTGGCCTCTCTGAGCATAATTTATAAGGTGCAGGGAAATGTTAATAAGTAAACACATTTCCCGGAGTTGGGGAATCAACTTCTGCGGCATCCTAACAACCTCACTCAGAGATAGACTTGAGGAGCTGTTTGTTCCCTTCCCTCCGTTCTTATCGTCAGATAGTTCTTCCTGATGTTTGGTTGGAATCTCCTTTCTTGTAACCTGAAGCCACTGGTTTGAGTCCTACCCTCCAGAGTAGGAGAAAACAAGCTTGCTCTATCTTCCATGTGACAGCTCTTTAGATATTGGAAGAGGGCTATCATATCTTCTCTCAAATCATCATGAAGCAATCACTTATTTTTAACTAGGGCACATCGTTATTTTTGTATTAATGGAGTGGAGAATCTTCTTCATTGTGGAGGCTGAACTCACATCTAAGCAACCTTCAGAGGGCCACATGTCAGTCATGAGCTGGTTAAGAGGGCAGAACATTTAATATAAATTTTCCCTTTGTACAGGCTAGTTTCCGTGCACTCAAACACCCCTCTCTAGCCTCTAGCCAGGCAAGCAAGAAGCATTATCAGAGTTCAAGGACACTCAGGCAAAAGCACTTAAGGAGCTTGTAAAGAAGGGCCAGTGAAGAGTTGGGCTAGGGAGAGTTCCAAGGGCCAAACAGAGAAGCCTGAATAGCCCCATTTGCCCCCCGAACCTGAGATTCCCCATCTCTGTTGTATGCTACGGTTGATATAAAATAGTGTGATTTGTCAAGGGAGGGAACGTAACTCAGTAGTACATCTGCTTTGCATGCAGAAAGCCCCGGGTTCAATTTCCCAGGCCTCTCCAGGCAGAGCTGTCAATGTCCCTCCCTAGTCAGTAAACTAGTCAGTAAACATTACTGAGATAGGTGGACCAATGGTCTGACTTGATCTAAGATAGCTTCCTATGTTCCTGTGCCATCCAATGAGTTCATAGCTGAGAAGGCCTTACAATGCAGCAAATGCAATCCTGTAAATGTTTGCTCAGACGTTTTTGCTATCCGTTGTTGTTTTCTTCTCTTTAAATACACTGTATATTACACAGGAGACAGCTGGGCAAATGTGCAGCTAAGCAGTCATGAAGAAAATCAGTGTGGTGAATCTTGATGCACTTTTAGAGGGCTTTTTAAATATAGAAAAGGTAAGAAGAGTATAGATCCTTTAATTGTTATGCCAATGTGTACACACACACACACACGGTGCTTTTTTCTGGGGGAATGCAGGGGTACGCATACCCCTAAACATTTTGTGAATCTTTGTACTTTTGTCCATTTACTATATTTATTTTTCCTGATTTGAACTATAAAATGGTGATTTTCTGAGTCAAAATGAGAGTACCCCTAAACATTTTTAAAGAAAAAAGCACTGTATATGTGTGTGTGTTTAATTGTTTTATATATGCAGTTGTTATACACACACACCACACCACACCACACCACACATATACATATACATATACATATATGTATATGTATTGTGAATCGCTTTAGGGTGCCTCATGGGAAGTGATTTATAAATGAAATAAATAAATAAAACAATAAATAATTGCAAAATGAAAAACAGCTTAAAAAAAAAGAGTAAAGTACAAAAGTCAGCAGATGAATTCAGACATCACCCAAAACACAGCTGTATATCCTCTATGAAATCTTTCCATAATTGCTCTGTGGTTAACTTTTTGTGGTTAATGCTCTCAGGTCTCTAATTAATTGTTGCCTAAACAGCACATGGCTAGACTTTATTGCCCAGGCCTTAGAGCGACTGTGAAGATGGGAAGGTAATGTTAAACAATTTGTTAAATTTTGAATTCTCAACTTTTCTTACAGAAAATATCAGGGCTTCATGGAAAAAATAATATTCTTAGTCTTCAGTTAGATGAAACAAACAAGTTACTGACAACAAGCCAAATGAAGGAAGAATCAGCTAAAGAAGGTAAGCATTCCTTGGCACTGTTTTTATAACCACAGATTTGATGAGGTGGACTTGTGCCCATTAAAGTTTATTGCATAATAAATTTGTTAGCCTCCACATTGCTGTATTAAGCTGTATTAACTGTATTAAGATAACCAAGCTCTCCAGAACACATCATCGGGTTAGACAGTAAAGAAAGGGGGTAGGCAGAAGATGTGGCTGATGATAATGCCGTGAGTCTGCATCTGGAGAACACAGCATAACCTCCAACATTTCTCCAATGAAAATAGGGACGTCCCATTCCATAATGCTCATTTTACTATTTATACCCCACACATCTTACTTGATTGCCCCAGGCACTCTGGGAGCTTCCAACATATATAAAAACATAATAAAACATTAAACATTAAAAAAAACCCTTCCCTATACAAGATTGCCTTCAGATGGCTCAGGTGTTGGATAATTCTATACCCTCCAATATTTCTCCAATGAAAATAGGGACATCCTAAGGAAAAGTGGGACATTCCGGGATCAAATCAGAAACCGGGATGGCTTATCTAAATCAGGGAGGTCCCTGGAAAATGCGGGCACCTGGAGGGTCTGAGGCAGCTGGCACTCAAATGAGACTCTTTAAAGTGCTGTGCAGGTATCATGTTGGTACCTGCAACAGGTTGTGTGCTAGGAAGAAAAATGATTCCACATATCTGGATATATGTCCAGGTCTATTAGCATACTTAGGTGAAACACTAGGAAGTTTTAATATTAACAAAGGTGAAAATTAATTTATATACTATGGTAGGTAAAAAAAAAGTCTATAGAAGTAAAACTGTAACTTAGCAGTTGTGGAGATGTTTCTTCTAAGAATAAAGCCCCTTTTCTATTGAAAGCAGTTTGTGTAATATATCACAGGAATAATAGGTTGCCTGTCTTTACTGCAAGAATTCATTTCACAAAACAAAACGTACTAAAAGTGTGAAGCATTTTAGGATGAATGCTTAAAATCGGTTATATTTTTCTGTGAAGGGCTATGTCTGGATTATAGCTTTTGTAAAATAAATGTTCTTTCAATGTGTCTGATCTTAGTGATCTGCAAATCTGCATATGAGCTGAGAAGGACTGTCACATGGAGGGGGGGCATGGAACAATTTACAGCCTATGAAGCATGCTTCAAATGCTAGAGCAGACTGGGGGGAAACTGCCTTTAATCATAGATATTTTGACTTGGCAAATGATATATTTGACCAACCATTCCAACTTCTGCTAATACAAAGGCTTTTCTTGAGAAGAAAGGGAATGATATAAAACACAATGACAGCTTTTGACTTATTAAGCATTGGCCTGGTTTTTTACATTCCTGGTTTAGACAAAGGCTAGCAAGTAACTGGAGTCCTCCATTAAATAATGTAATGGAAGCAACCAATGCAGATATTAATTCAATCTTCTCCATAAATTAGTGCTGCTGTAGGTCTGAGGGGTCACTAGGTAATAAGCTCCATATTTCAAAAAGCTCTGCCCATTATACATTTGATCCTCCAGCTTTGCCCATGAGCCTCCAAATTCTGCCTTGGCTTTGTCTGCCCTTGTTCCAGGGCTAGCTAGCATTTTAAAAAATAGTAAAAGTTTGCAATAGGATATTAACATAAGACAAGTATCTGATTATGGAACAGTGCTTCCTGACTTGGTTGCACTACATTTGATGCATTCCAGATTTAAGACCAAAATATGTGCCTTATTTTGCAAAATTGTATTGTGAATTGGCATTCTATGCTGACATGTTTTCCTTTGACTTTATTGTTTTTGCTACTTGTATTGTTATGACAAAAAAAACACACCAGTAAAGGTAAAGGACCCCTGCCCATTAAGTCCAGTTGTGAAGAACTCTGGGGTTGCGGCGCTCATCTCACTTTACTGGCCGAGGGAGCCAACGTTTTTCCGGGTCATGTGGCCAGCATGACTAAACCGCTTCTGGCAAACCAGAGCAGCACACGGAAACGCCGTTTACCTTCCCGACGGAGCGGTACCTATTTATCTACTTGCACTTTGACGTGCTTTCAAACTGCTAGGTTGGCAGGAGCTGGGACCGAGCAGACATTAACAAGATGACTTTGATGGTGAAAAGTGCTGGATAGTCTTCCTAATATAATGCTATCACATGATTAATTGATTTTTTAAAAATCATCTAAAATTTCTTATCCATTAAGTCTCTGTGTTAATAAAACAATAGCAATGAAGGTAGAATGTTTTTAATGTAATGCATGTATGCACTACATCAGCCACCATATAAAAATAGTTTCTGCTACCTGCATTTTTTTGTAAGTGTATGCATTAAAAATACCTAAAATACCCACACACTGCTGTCTTTTATCTGCTAAGTTTATTTGTTTGAATGTTAGGATTCTATTTCCTTTGGGCATATTTTAAACAATGGGGCATAGGAGGAGCCAACTCCAGGGGGCCATGGGTGCTTGGGCACCCACAATAATATAATTGTGGGGGCTGGGCACCCACAAAGTCAATGAGAAAAGCCGGCAGGTGGAGGGGTTCTGGGATGCTGAGGCAGGGTCTCTCTGTCTCTGTGTCTGAGTCCCTCCTCCTGGAAAAGGGTGGCTCACTGGCTGCAGAGAGGAGGAAGAGGAGCTGCTGCCACCAGCCACTGCAATGCGGACATGTAATGTCACACGCACATGTCTGCACATAGTGCGTGTGACATCACACGTACTACGCTCAGGCATGTGCATGGGATGTCACACATCTGCATTGCGGAGGCAAGCACCCACAATCCTGAGGGCAAGTTGGCACCCCTCCAATGGGGTGCTCTATTTTAAAATAAAAAAGCCAAAACAAGGAATCAAAATCAGTTAATAATCTTCAAGGTGTGTTTTTCCAATATGCTCCATCTGGGAGATGGTTTGGAAATTAGAACAGGTGCAAAGGCAATGCTTTGCCTATGAGGTACAGAAAAGATATCACTTTAATATGAGTTGTTGCATACATTGTTATGTGGCAAGTAAGGGAAAAGGAAAGAGAATGAGTCTATAATGCTGCGTGGAGATGTTCCTCTGGTCATGCATCTCAATATAAAGCAGTGCTTTGTATTTTTATAAGTAGACTATAGAAGGCATGAACGATATAGGGATGCCAGAGGTCCATCTTGTGTTCACTTCTTGAAACTGCAAGAAGCCCTATGAAGCTTGAGAACACCTCTTTAAATGCAATTATTTTGCTGATTCTTAAATAGCAGGCAAACTTGTAAAATTTCAATGACGGCTACAAAGAAGATGCATAATTTAGAAAGACAGCATCCTGTATAATACTTCTTTATTACACCAGAACAAGGAAGTATTTATTGCTGATGACTAAGATAACTTTGTGGGACGCGGGTGGTGCTGTGGTCTAAACCACTGAGCCTAGAGCTTGCCAATAGGAAGGTCGGCGGTTTGAATCCCCACGACGGGGTGAGCTCCTGTTGTTCGGTCCCAGCTCCTGCCCACCTAGCAGTTCAAAAGCACACCAGTACAAGTAGATAAATAGGTACCAAGATGAGCGCTGCAACCCCAGAGTCGTCTGCGACCTAATGGTCAGGAGTACCTTTACCTTTACCTTAAGATAACTTGGAATGTTATGATTAATTAATAATTATTAAATTATTGCAGTAATTCAAGTGTACCAATTTCTCTTTTTTTTCTTTTTAAAAGAATGTGCTACACTCCAAAATGTGATTAAAGGTCTCCAACAAACTATAGAAAACCAGTATAATTTGAGAGGTAAAAAAAAACTAGCTGCAGTGTTGATGTTGTTCTTAATGTGTTTAGAGACTGCTCTTGTGTGGACTAGAACACAGTATTTGGAATAGAGCTTCCAACAAGGGTTGACTACAGTATGCATATAGATATGCATCTCTATTAAACTTCTTCAATACAAGTTGCATACAGCTCAGTCTTGTGTGTCTGGCATAGGATGCTGCTTTGGTTGAAAACCTCTGCTTGTGCGTCATTGGCAGATGTTGCACAAGGTTATTTCCATGTCATTATCCATTTTTTTTGCTGGCATAGTCACCTGGGTGGTTGGGGAGATAATCCAGCACAATGCTGGTGAGTGCATAGGTCTGGAAAATGACAAGGAGTTTATAAAGTTCCTGACTCTTCCACTTCTTACCTCTTTTGCTTACTTACATAGACATTTATTTAGTTATTCAGACTGTTAGTTGCTTTATATCAAAGAAAGTTTCAAAGCAGCTTAACAAGATAAAATGCAAACTGGTAAAATCAATAAAAAGCCAAAGAAAAAAGAAAATATATATACCATACAAAATTCCTAAAATGATCATCCAACAATAGAATAAGAAGGGGAAGGTATCTTAACTTTTTTAAAGCCCCATGCATATACGCTCTAGCAAGCATTCAAGATGTCAAGGGCTGTTATTCAGTCCATATACACCTCCCTCTTTCTTTCTTTTTCTTTCTTTCTTTCTTTCTTTCTTTCTTTCTTTCTTTCTTCGTACAGAACATGTACAAAATTTCTCTTGCAGTCTGACTGTCAACAATTCCCTTACACAGATGAAAGTGAGAGACTGAAGAACACAGCTCATAATTTAGAAGAGAAACTAAAATCCCATGAACAGGTGAGAGCATTCATCTTCAAAACCTTAGGTTTCTTTCTATGGAAGACTATATGGAGAATCAACCTACTTTCTAGAGAGAGGAGTTGTCTTTTGACAATTTCTCATTTTGATTTCCCCCCCTTATATCGGCATTGTCATCTTCATTGTTATGAGCTACTTGACAATAATCAGATTAGAGTGTTGGTTTCAAATACTTGGTCTTAATTTGTTTCTGGCTCATCTTCTGACATCACAAACACTTGTTCCCATGTATCTATCCAAAAGAGCAGGGTAATATATTAACTGATTCATTCCGTGTGGCATTATACAATCATGGTGGAAGTCACAACCATTTCAATACGATTAATCCTGCATAGCAACAATAAATTGCAAGTGTGTAATCTTCGTTTTGGAAAGGAAGGACCACAGTCACAGTCACACGGTATGCTTTGAATGCAAACCCAGGTTCATCCCCTATTAAAAGGGCTTGAAAAGACACCTGATCAAGAAGTTCGTCTAGTAGTCTGATGTGGCATATAGCATTTTTACATTTTCTAAGTCTTTTTTCAAGTTTCATTTCAAGTTGTAAGTTGCAAACAAGTTCAGCCAAAGTAATTTTGTTCCACTGACAACTGGAGTAAGGCTGCAATCAGTCAGAAAAGTTGCACAGGCAGTAAAACATGGCTTAGTTAAAACATGGTAGAAGTTCCCAAACGGTTGGTAAAGGAACACAAGAGAGGCTGGTGAAAGCCATGCAGCTGAATTGGAGCAACCACCTCAGACTTCCTCACACATCAAGTTCACAGGTAGACTGGGTGGTAACAAAGGCTTGGTTACCTATATTCTCCCAAGGTAAGGGGAAGTGACATAGCTAAGCCTGGTGGGACAACTTACTCTATGGTATTAACACCTTCGTGCATTAATTCTACTTAAGAATGCTGGTTATATGAGGCTCGTTATCCCACAGATCTTCCCTTGCTGGTGATCTTGCTTGGATAGAGGTGCTGCAACTGATCCAGCAGCCTCATTTCCTCAGGCTGCTATGATTCCTTCACTTCTGCAATCTGAAGGCAACTGGTAGTTGGAATCAAGTGTTTTTCCAGCTGAGAGCCCAGAGTAAACTCCTGTTTGGCTACTCCTCTCTGACCAGTGGATAGGTCCTTGGCATGATGTTCCTGGGAGGTACAAATGCAACCAACAATCTCCCAGCAGCCCTCTAGCCAATGGATGGATTAGCCATAGTGAATGAGACCATAGTGTGCCTTCCTTCTGTTCTGCAATCCCACAGATAGTTGGGCAAGTATAGTTATTTTTACAGAAGGAGTGGGAAAGCAAACAAGCTTTGTGGTGTGTGAATTGGGCCCATACTCTGGGGGTTAAATTAACTTAAATCCAGTTGTTGCAGCTAAAGTTGTGATCTTATGTGCTCTTAAAGTAAGACCTATTGAGCTAAAAAGGACTGGTTTCTTTAAAGGATTGTCACTGTAAACTAGGTGATGGGAGAGGCTGCATTATTCCTGTTCTATAAATTGAAACCTTGGGTTCTTTGGCCTCTGAATGAATTCATTACTTCCAAAGTTAATTCTGAAAGGAGTGTTGGTAGTTCAAATACATGTCAAAAAGAGGATTCAGGGAATTTTGTGGCAACTGAAATCTATTTAGACAGATCAGTTGCTTATTGTTTTATCATCTCTGCTGCTGGGAAGCTTTATGCTACATTATATAGTCTCGTGATTTTAATTGTATTGTCATTTTAAACTACCTAGAGAATTTGGCTATTGGGTGTTTTGTTTCAAAAGCTTGCTTAAATCAATTTATAGGAACATAAAAATATGGTTGATAGACTCATGAGAGAAATTGAAAAGAAGGAGGAGGAACACAAGCTTGAACAATGGAAGCTGCACAATGACATGAATAAAAAATGTAAGCATAAATTGTGTACACTATATGTGAGTGATGCTGAGATTTCTCATACTTTAAAGCAAATTTTTTGGTACTACATACGGTAGTTCTTTTTCACTAATGAACAGTAGTCTCGGAATTAACTATGGTGGATAAATTCGAGCTTATCTGGATCCCCTAAAACTGTTGTGCATTAACTGGCATCATCTTCGATGAATCTGCTCCTCCAAGGTTTTTTTTAATGTTTACATGTTGATTTTTTTTGTATCTAAAATTAAAAAGTTTCTTATTTATTATCCCAGCTTTTCTTGCAAATGTTTTGAGTAACATTTTCAAACGTACAGCTTATCATCACCTTAAAGCCATTTGATTAAATGTAATGAATTTTTACATTATTTAAATTTTGTTCAAGTTGAAGCCATGGAGAAAGAGCACAAACTACTAATAGAGAAAAAGATATGGAGATTTTAGAATTAACTAAACAACTCAGAGCACAAGAAAAGAAAAACAGGATGAGATAATCAAATTGCAAATAGAGGTACAGTATGCACTAGAAACTCAAGATAGAAGCCAGAAGATAAAAGATTGGGTCTGTTTTATAAAGAAGTATATGCAAATACAAGTTGTAACTTGTGAATAGGAAGTATAACTTGTTGTTTTACTGGATAAATTATAAGAGCCTTATAGCAGGCTGTTATTCTGCCATAACTGAGAATAATTTCCACTGAAATTAATTAGATGTAATCTAAATAAATGAGTTTCAGATTGAGTTATTAGAATTATGTTGCTTATAATTTTTGTTTCCTTGTTATACTTCTGAAAAAGCAGTGGGAGCAAGAAAAATATTTTGAGGTGGTTTGTTTGTTTTTGTTTTGCTCCTAGCAGCACTGAAAATGTACTCATACTTTGAATGTTTTAATATCTACCTTACCCTCTTTTGTCACATGGTTGCAAATTTCCCTACTGCTGCCTATGAATTTAATTATAAACTTCAAAACACGCATGACCCAGCCAATAAATTGATATTACATTTAACAACATAAGAAGTACCCGGCTGGATTAGACCAAAAGTCTATCTAGTCCAGCATTCTGATCCTACAGGGGCCAACCACATGCCTATGGGATGTCCACAAGCGGGATTGGAGTATAGCAATGCTCTCCCACTCCTGTCCCCTAGCAACTGGGGTGCTGAGATGCACCATCTCTGATACGTAGGTAGTACAGCCATCTTGGTTAGTATCCATTACTGGCTTTATCCTCCATGAGTTTAATTCCCTTTAAAGCCATCCAAGTTGGTAGCCTTTACTATCTTTCATGGTAACAACGTCCAGAATTTAACTATGCACTGTGTAATAATCTTCTCAACACCATGCATAATTTTTGCACCTCTCTCTTATCCCTTTGGAAGCCCCCAAGTCCAATAGCTCCAAGTAGCCTTTTCTCATGCAAGTTTCTCCATTTTGGTCACCCTTTTGTAGCTGCAGTATCCTCCTTGCATTGTGGTGAACAAAACTGTAGAGTTTTCCAAACAACCCTCTTAGGTAGATTAGGCCCAAGGGGGTGCTTGGCCCAAGGTAACCCACTGAGCTTCATGGCTAAGTGGGGATTAAACCTGGAGTTCATCCATCCTAGTCCAGTACACCACACTGGCTCAAGAATAGTTAAAGCAGAAATATTTGTATAGGTTTTTCCCCATTATCAACATACTAACATGTGTTTTTGTTTCAGTTCAATGCTGAATTGGTAAAGCTTCAGACCAAAATGCCTAAGTCCTATCCAAATCCCACTTCACTGCCTCAAAACATTTACAGAAGGGTATGTTTTCCAGCACTTTCTAATATCTTAAATGTCTGGGTTTCATTAAATACTGGATGGCGCACAGTATTTCTGACAATGAGATTTGACTTTAAATGTTGTGTCTTGCCCTCATCCCTATATATTAATATCTCTGAAAGTGTAACTCATTGGGCCCAGTTCTCCTATTCCTCTGAGGAGTGCCAACCATTGGGAAAATCCCCTATCTAAAATGGCTTCTCTGTTCATTTTTAAGACTGACCTGATCTATATGCACTCCCCATTTTTAATGACATGTAAGCACTGTGTACACATGCATCAGGGTGACATTGTCTGCAACTCCCATCCATTTCTGTAACACTGAAAAATATGCAATAATTAATGTACCCTGGTTGTGGTATTTTTAATTTCAGGCTTTGCAGAATTATTAAATGAACCTTTTAAAATTCTTTTGGCTGTAGAATAGAAGTGGCAAGATGGGTACAGAAAGAAATGTAGCAACTTTTGAGCATCAGGAGGTGCTTATCATAGGTCTCGTCCTCATTGTTTGTGCTATGTTTTAGGCAAAAACTATGGAGTTAATTAAGTGCTCTAACTTCCAGCGGGACCACCAAGCTGACTCAGTGCCTGGATGTCATATAATACATACAAACTTTTGAAAAGTATTTGTAGATTTTTTTCAAAAGCAATGACACCTTTGTTTATATACACTATCTTGGAACCAAGTTCTAATGGGAAATAAAGCATTTGCTTTAATCTTTGCAGAAGCTTCAGCATCTTCAAGAAGAGAAGAATAAAGAAATTGAAGTTCTCCGTAATACCATCAGAAACTTGGAACAGAGGCTTGGCAAAGGTGAAGGTGTCCATTTCAAATGTTGACAGTTTTGAGAATTACATGAAAACACAAGTTGTCTGTTTAGGAAGTGTAACTGACAAGTATCACAAGAGGTTAATTGCTTGTTTTGGTTTATTAAAAGTTCTCTTATCCATCATCAACAAAACATGCTTTCCAGTTATATTCCTAACTACTTTCATGCTTAACAAGTGTTCACCATAAAAAAAATTCAAGTTTGTAGGGCAGTGACTTTCCCTATGAAACCATCATGAACTATAGCAAGCACCATCTAAGCAGTTTCTGTGTTGAACATTTTCTTTCATGCCTAAATCCTCCACACACAAACATTCAAAAATTCATTTCAGAAAGACAAGGTGTTAACAATGAGACATAATATTTAGCTAAAGAGAAACATACAAGCTTCATTAATCTGTTATAAAAGTAACCAAAACCAGTACAAGAATGACAAACCAACAGGAACTATGAGATAGATTGTTCAAGACTTAAATCTGATCAACAGATGTTTTTGACCCTGTTCCATGTTTCATTCTATCACAGCTTCACCTTGCACCCCAAACAGCTGTGATACTTAGCTTTGGTGAGATTTTCACAAAAACACAAAAAGATTCATGGTCTATTCTAATCTTCTTGCCACAGGATCTTAAATGTGCCTGTCCAAAATCTATTACTTAGGTGTTAGAAATTCTGGCAAATCCCTTTGTTTGGAATATCAGCCATCACACACAAACTTTAAAATTACATCAACTTCTACAATACAGTTTGATCATTAAGTGGCTCTAAAGTTTTAGTGGGGGGAAATTCACATTTTTATATATTTACTTGGTTTTAAAAAAAACCCCAGAGTTGTTTTTAAGTAGTTAACACATCTTTATTCTCCTCCCCTGTTCTTGGTTGCTATACATCAAACAGAAGCCCCTAGGTTATAGTTTATGCTTCTGTCTTCACAAATGCAAACAGAATGGTAGAAGAGGAAACCATAAAGATGAGGTAACTAAATGTAGCAAACACTTTAAATGGGCACCGAAAAACAAAAATCTGTACCATTACGAGAATTTCCTTCGTTGTTTTTAAAGGCAAATCAGCTTACCCAAACAACTCAGTACAAAGCCAATTAAGCAATAGCACTCAACTACAGTTGCAAAACATGAAACTCAAGTACTCCAGCTTAATTGGTTCGTGGACTGAGCTGCGTAAGTTGCTTTCTTTCAGACATTCACATAACGGTACCCGATGGGAAGCTCACTGATGTAATAGTCACTCAATGTATTTTAACTCTCTTTGGCTCTTGCCAATAAGTGCTTCCAATCAACTTGGAAAAATCTGATGATACCAATGCCTACATTATCAATGAATGCATTCTACATTGAGGACTCTTCCCTAGTGTCTTAAGATGCTTAGTTTGTTTTTCAGGCTCAGATTTCTGCCCTTTCTACTCACTGTCAGGCATCTGAAGCTGCAAGCTCACCTGCTGCTGCTGCTGGCTGTCAAGCAGCCGTTGGCAGTCGTCACTGGCAAGACTCAGTGACATTCTCTGCCAACAGCTGCCCACGTCACCTGCAGGAAGATGGGAGCTCACCACGACAGTGTCAGGAGGCTATGCTATTTAGATCTTCAAACAGCAAGTGCCGACAATGTCAACATCAGTTACCTGTAGTGGGCCTTGTCAGCTCCTGCCACTTTCAGCTCAACTGCCTCTGGCAAATAGCATTCCCCTTTCGTCAAAGCCTCTTTCTCTGGGGGGAATCCTCCACAGCTGGTTGCTGTGAGGCAGCTTCTACAACATCCTCACTACCTGCCTGACTGCCTCTATTTTGATGGCGCCGGTTGTTCTGCCGATGTCCATGTCTACGGTGATGGGGTTTCTGGCCTTGATGGCCAAGGGGAGGTGACTGGTCGTGCTGAGAGGGAGGTGGTTCTGCCTCTTCTGGCTTTTCATCTGGCTTTTTTGAAATGTTCCTGCATATTTCTTCAATCTCTGGTGTCTGGAAGGAAAAAGTGCAGACAACATAAATGCACCCTGTTTCAGTAGACAGGTATGTCTACTGAAATGTCTACTCTTTAAATACATATGCAAAATATTAGCCGATTCTTATATACCTGCTGTGTAAAATTACAACCCTCAAATTAATGCACTTATATTGAATGGTGGTAAAGCATTTAACAATTTTCTCTCTCCATAGCAACTTGTAAAATTTCACGATACTACGATCTACATGAAACTCGTTAAGAAAATGCAGGTTTCAGCTCTTTGGTATCATGCGGGAGGCATTAAGAAGATGAGACTTTGCATGATGGTTGTAGAGCCAAAAGTTTGTACCCCATGCTAGCCCTAGTATGAGTAGACAAACTGAAGTCAATGGACAGGACTAACTTAGGTTCATTAATTTAAGTGAGACTACTGTAAGTAGGATTTCATTGGCTACAACCCACTCATTTTATTTATTTATTCAGTTATCCTGGCTTTCCAATGAGCTTCCAAATGGGTTTCAGGAGGGCTCCCATACTTAGCTCCAGAGATGGTCAAGACGTGCCTGCACAATGGTTCAGCAGTAGGTTATATGCAAGTTAGAATCCAATGGTGTGGGAGTACATCGGATGTATGCATTACAGCAGGTTTCCACCACAAATTAAGCCCATAGCAGCCAAGACCTTTCAAAATTTTCAAAAATCACGTTCAGAATCTAAGCTAAAACTGCTCTGGTAAAACATGCTTGATTAGGTTTCTGTTTATTCAATTAAATGCACATACACACACAATGGGAAAAGAATATTGTTTTAAAAAAAAACCCAAAAGTACCAGATAAGAGCAGTTTCCACACTTGGATTCACAGTATGTGATCTGAATGGCTTCTTCCACATAGGGAAAACTCAGAAAAGAGTAAGGCAAACCAAGATGATACACTAGACGGCCACACCTAGAAAGAAAGTTACCCAGGTTTTAATATCAATGTGAAATACATTCATGGTACTGTATTCAACTATTAGTCACATTCATTAATTTCAATGCATCTACTTGGAATAAAACTTAAGTTTATTATCACCCATAACGTGGAGCTTTTTGGAAATGAGAAATGAATTTCTGTTGTGCTAGATGTCCTGTGTTCTGTTATAATCCATAAAAAATCTACTGCAAGCATTTCACAGGTGCCTCAATCCTATATAGCTAGGTTGCAGGGGTGGAAATGCCATTTGCACAGGCTCTTACAACAGCAAATCATGACACTTTTTCTCCCTGTGAGCATGTTTCTGTGGAAATCCGGGCACCCTCTCACTTCTCAAGCCTCTTTTAAGAGTACAGGGAGCTCTCTGCCAAGAAAAACCTTCAAGAGCAGCAGAGTTTGTCCCGAGGCAATAAACCCATGTCTGGGTTGCAGATGGGGACTCACATAAATGAATGTGCTTCCTTATTTTCAAAATCAATACACATACCTATATATTAAAATGTAGCATGTGCAAGGGGCAGCTAAGCTGCTAGAACTCTTCTCCCTAACATACAGCTATCTATGTACCTGTTGGTTACAACCTAGTATCCCATTTATGGTGGAAATAAGGTTGATATGGATGGGAAGCAGGGCATTCTCAGCCCTATTCTCCTCAGTGCTATGGAAAACCTTGCCCCATGAGGTTCATTTAGATCTCCTAGCTTTTCTTTTATATACAGACCTGTCATAGATGAGGAAGTCATCCTTCTTTCCACTTAGTGTAGTCCAGACATCAGGTTGTTTTGCATCCTGCTGGTATACAGGAATGTGCTCCGAAACCTTCTCTCTTAGCTGGTTATACTTCAGTTGGGAATGGTGTCCCTGGTGATTGATCACCATAAATGAAACATTTACCAAGCCATCACTTTCAAGCTTCAGTTGCAGATCTTCCAATCTAATAGGAGACACACAGAGAGAAAATGAATATTTTAAGTGCACTATCCTCCTTCAGGACAGTTTATATTGTTTGTTAAGATGAAATGGTGGCTTCTCAGAATCTATAAACTCCCACTGTTATTACTGGATTTATTTGTCTCTGGACAACTTATAATTTAAAACAAGTGATCAGCATAAAACAACATAACTGTAAAATATTAGTTGTGTATGCTTTCTTCTAGGGTGTACTGACCTTTTATGGATACTTCAAATTACCACATACCGTATGTGGCTCTGGAGGTATTTGCAATGGAGTTTGCTTGCGTGTTGTGATTAGAAAACAGAACATTTGGCCAAGTGGTATTAATATTATTGCATGTGAAGATTTTAATGCCATATGGGACAAACGTGGTTCTTGCCTACTCAAATAATTTAAGATTTTAAAATATGTCCTTGGCAAATCACTTTACTGTTTAATTGGTTGTGTTAAAAGTAAAAACAAAAGCAATTGCCATTCTAAAAGCTTTTTCATGTGTCTGCCAAAAAAGCCTTTGATCTGCAGCTTTAAAAACCTTACTCTCTTAGAGGCATTTCAAACTAAGTTTTTCCGCTGCCTGCTGGGGATCCCCTCTTGCGTATCCAACATAGCGGTCCGTTTGGAGGTTGGACAAATTCCTATCAGTACTCGGATATGGATATTGAAGATCCATTACTGGCTAAAGCTTATTTTCTTCCCGGTTGGGCTGGCACCTTTAACCTTATTGGATACCTACCAATCCAAATGGAAAGCTACACTGCTGGAAAAGCTTAAAGGCTTGGGGATCCCACAGCAGACCCTGATAGCGACAGGCTTCGAGAAAGCTAGGACTACAATTCGCCAGCGTATCTGGGACGTAGAATTACAATGCCACATGAGCGAAATGATCAAACATCCTGCAATAAGGGACCATGGGAGAGGTTTCTCTCCAGCTAACTATCTGTCAGGTCTTCAGGTACCCAAATACAGACGGTCTTTTACCCTCGCCAGATTCAACGTTCTCCCTTCTGCCTTACTTCAGGGCAGATTTGAGGATAAACCATACACAGCATGGGTCTGCCCCTGTGGCTCGTTGGAAGTTGAAACTGCTTCACATGTACTATTACGTTGTCGTCTTTATGAGGATATACGTTTCACTTTTATTACACCTGTTTTGCAAAAGTCCAGGAAAGAATCGGAACACCATAGTTTAAAACTACTGCTAGAGGACAAGAATCCCAAGACTACATTAAATGTAGCCAAATTCTGTGCGTCTGCAATTAATCGCAGGAAGCAAGTGGTATCCCATAATGACCAAACCCCAAATATTAATTACAGGGGCACGCTAATAATTAATTTTAATTTTTATATTTAAATGCTTGTTATACTCATATTGTCCTATGTATTTTTGATATTTTTTTTATGATCTGTGATATTGTGTGTGTTGACGCTGGTCTGTGACCGTATTAATAAATTCATTCATTCATTCATCCATCCCCTACTCGAAAAGCACTGTACTAATGCTTGAAAATTAGTAGCAATATGCTGCTTTTTTAAAAGTGGAGATAATGTGCAAATGGATCGGTCATTTTCCTCCTCTTTTCTGTAACTGTCACAGAAGCTGCAAATTGTCCTTGGAGGACAATAAACTGGAAAAGCAGAAGTTAATTTGGCAACTCAGGTTTTCCTTGCTCACTGCAGCCTGAACAATCTGGGTCTCTTTTGCAAGACATCAGCAGTTCTGTCTCCCACCGCCCCCTCATACAGTATAAGGCTTTGGAGGTCATTCACCCCAATCTGAAGAATGCAGGGCACTGTGGACTTTCACACTCCTAATATCTGAACAGCTGTATTTTATTTACTAAAGAAACAATACATATGAGAAGTGGAATGGATCGATGTCCCCCTGAAGCTAGCCAAGGAAGTTTATAATGGGACAGTGTGCAAGAGAACTATGAAGTCATGAAAGCACTAATGACCTCTGCTATATAATCCCTATAAAACATGTGGTGCTCTGTTGCTTGGGCACTTTCTGGTTTGCTTTTGTTTCATCCAAGCTCTGGATGAAATCCAAAAACGAAGAATGAAGTTTATAGGAGGAGTTTTGTTATTACAAACAGCAGTACAGAATCCAAGCAGTGAAGCCAGAAGTTTCAGTTTGCGAGCCAAAAATAACATTTATAACAGAAACATTTTTGGGAGTCATGGAAAAGTAGAGACACCATAAATCTGAATGAAAATAAGGAGAAAATCCTGCCTCTGTCCTGTATAAACGTGCCTCTTATTTTTGACAACAAAAATCCAGATGCAAACACAGGCTGTCCTTACCTAGAAGCCTGCAACAGGCACAAGAATCAGCTGGCTTGCAGAAGGGCTACCACCGTGACGGTACCCCTGGAATCCAGCATAGGATCTTCTTCCCCGATTCGCCATTCTGGAGCCTCTCTGCAACGGCTGCTGGTACCCTGGCTCTCCGTCCCTCCTCCTGGGAGGAGACAGAGAGCCAGGGCAAGTCCCAGGCCAACCCACATGGCAGGGCTTTGGCAGAAAAGAAAAGAAAACAAGTTGAATGCTCCACCCACAACCCCACCGATCACAGAACATGCCTCCTGCCCCTGGCTCCTCCAGAGCAGCAGAATAAACAGACTCCCAATAAATCTGTCCCACTTCTTGTTTTTAAGGATTCCAACCCCACCCCACCCCTCGCCTTTCCCTTTCTTTGGGAACCACTGCAGTTATAGCACACAGCTGTTTAAGTTTACTATATTCAATTTAATTAAGACAAATGTCAAAATTCAAAGTGTGCAATCATTCCCCGTTTGTATTTATTTCAAATGTACAAGGTTGTGTTCAACTAACTTTTACTCTGGTCTATTAAATCCAGTGGGTCTGGTCTAAGTTAGCTGCCACCATTAGTTTTAATGGGTCTACTCTGAGTAAAAGCCAGTTGATGTCAATCCCCACTAAAACTACAGTGCGTTTGGAAACCACGGGACTCGCACAACAGCCTGATCCTATGCATATTTACTTGTGAGTAAGGCTGCACGAGAGGGGATGCCCATTGCATAGACTTCTTAAACTGCAATCATGTAAACACTTTCATGGGAGCAAAGTGGACTCGACTGTGCTTACTTCTGAATAACCATGCATAGGATTGCACTGTTAATGTCAAGCTTTAACTGATTTCCCCCCCTTTTCCCCTCTGTTCCGGCAGCTCTGAACCCGATACATTCTGGAAGGATATATACACTGTATTCTTTTCCAGAAACCCCTTTATGGAAACAAATAACCAAAGCCCGACAACTCCCCCTCCGAGGAGGCAAACTTGGGGAATCACACTTTGTAGACTAAAGTATCGCTTTGTGCGCGCACAATATATATAAAACCGATTCCCGATTCAACACACAAAAAGACAAAAAATGACTTCTGCAGAAATCGGAAAAGTGAATTTGACAAGGAAACAACAGACTTACCCGGGCCCCACCCTTCGCTTGGCTGCTCCTCGACTTCGCTTCTGTTCTCTCCAGCTACACCATGCAAGGAAAACAAATCTAGCTATCTAGTTAGCAGCTGCAGTTCTCTGATATTTATACTCCGCCTGTTTATCACTTGCAGGCGTGGTTCAAAGTTCAGGGGACTCTTTTGCAATGTCCTTGCAAGCTCCCTGGAGCGAAACCTAGCCAAACGTTTGTTTTCGTTAACTAACTGGAAGTAACAAGAGCTTTTCCTGCCGTCCTGGGAAAAAGAAATGTGCAGGAAAAGTGGCTTTTTTGGGTGGTGCAGTGTCCAATCTCCCCCCAGTAACTCCGAGCTGGTGGTAGAGTCATAACGTGTGTGGGAAGGACATTAATTCCAAAAAACTTATTACTTGTTTTTAAGGAAAGGAGTATCTGCTGAGCCCGCAAGTTTCGTTGTGTTCTTGCCTTGGCCCCATGCACACCCTTTCCTGACATGGGAGCCTGAGCAAATTTCCCTGCCCAACAGCTGGTTTTTGTTTGTATCAGCCTACTTTGAAACCTATTGCCAATACTGATCCAAAGGTTCAAAGCCTTGGGTGCAGGCGAGGGAGACCCAAACGCTCCCTAGGGAGGTCTCCACTGGCTGCCTTGTTGTTGTTAAAGTGTGATCTGCAACAAAATATTGCAGTATGAAATTGCCATCCCTTCTCCAGAATACACCTTTCTGTTCTCCTAACCCAGAGAATGTTTCAAGTGCACTGAGTATCTTCAGTCCTAAGGATAGGCACTCACAGAATGAGTTAGCTGGGTTTTTATTATTGATTTTTATGTTGCTTTTCACAACCAAGGAAACTCACTGCAAAGAAATTGAAACGCAAAAAAGAAAGAAAAATTCATAGCAAGCATATCCATGGTGACAAAATGTATTGAGCCAGCCCTAATACTCATAATAATAACATTGGAATATATTTTTTTCATCAGGAACAAGGGCGGGCAACAACAAAGCACCACCACTTATTTCACAGAAAGTGATGATGTCATCTCCTGGGCACAATTTGCCATCCCCTGCATTTCAGGTAGCTAACATTTTTCTCAGAAAAACCCATCAAATAAAGTAAGTTGAGGAAGAGGTAGGTACATTAGCACACCTGGCTAACAGTCCAAATGGCCAGTTTTTGAAGCCTCTTTTTTCATGACCAAAAAAAATGTCCTAAAATAGTGAGCAAGCTTTTGAGTCCACCAGAACATTGCTTCAGGCTGGATGTTAAATGAAATAGGAGGGGTGGCAAGGAAAAAAGGCCATCTTGATACTGATGACATAATGCCTGCAGTGATCAGAGGTGCATTTTTGTATTGGAAGGGGCATAGTTCTGGCGATTGCCATGATGAGTGCCTACCCTTCGGAATGTACACCACTGTTTTTCATACCTCACAATCAGGCTCTCTGGGCCTCTATTGTGCTATTTGTGTGCATGTGGGGCAGAAAGTGGGGCACGCGGGGGGTGCTGTGGGTTAAACCACCGAGCTTAGGACTAGAAGGTCGATGGTTTGAATCCCCACGACGGGGTGAGCTCCCGTTGCTCGGTCCCAGCTCCTGCCCACCTAGCAGTTCAAAAGCACAAAGTGCAAGTCGATAAATAGGTACCACTCCAGCGGGAAGGTAAATGGCACAGCTTAGTCATGCTGGCCACATGACACGGAAGCTGTACACCAGCTCCCTCGGCCAATAAAGCGTGATGAGTGCTGCAACCCCAGAGTCGGCCACGACTGGACGTAATGGTCAGCGGTCCCTTTACCTTAAGTAGAAAGTAGCAGAAAGTAAAAGCAAATGCACATTTAGCCACTATAGATAAAATAGACAGGCAGGCAGAAAAAATTAAATGCCAAACTATTGTTATAATTAGGGGAGAGAGAGAGAAAATGATTCTTAAATGAGCAATTTTTACTCTGAAGGCAAAGCGCCCACAGGTCCCTGATCTGGAATGTGCCTCTGATCTGTACTGGGAGCACTGAAATGGCTGGTTTAAACATGCTTTTTTTAAAAAAATCTTTTTATCCTTGTGTGTTTGTGTCAGGTGTGAACTGAAAGCATCCTCTTCCTTCCATGATTTGCGTTCAGAGACAATCATCAAATGAAAGCAAATGAAATCTCAGAGAGAGACAACTAATGCCACTGATGTTCGATATTCACAGCCATTTCTCATTATGTAAGTTTTCCATTGGTTGTCTATCATCTGGAAGTGACCCTCTTTCTGAGTGCTCCAACACACTGTGAGGTCACACAGTTGGGAGCACCATGTCCTGTTGTAACTTGACTCTTTAAAGGGATTCTAGGAACGTCACATCCTTGTGCCAAAATTAAGAGGAAAGTAAACTCACAGTGAATTTGCCTGGACAAAAATGTGCATTTTTGTTTCAAAGTCTATAAGCCATTGCTTTTCTCCAAGGGCACGTCCAGACATCCTGTTTATTGTGCATTCATCCTGATTTTGTCTGCAGGGATATTAGATGCTGGCTGTTTAATGAGCATTGCAGGTCAGTCAAAGTGAGTGTTATCCTGCACTTCCCACTGCATTTTCCCATCAATTTTCTTACCACAAAGTCTGATATTTGGGGGCAAAGCAGGTTTGTTGCACAAGACCTCCCAATTGCACAGCCTGGATTTGCCAGTAAGTGATTTAATACCACACAAACATAGGCTGGAAATGCCTCCAATCTTAAACCCTAACTCCTTTTTCTGTTCTAAGGCAATGTACACACTAGCAGCTTAAAATGCAGCAAGGCTGTGTTTCAAGTCACATTCTTACATTGCTGTGCACACCAGAGTAGAGGTGGGGATGTCTTCACCCAATGCACATTGCCTGTTTGGTTTCCCCATGCATACACTCCTGCAACTCCTATTCATGAAACTGCATTCACAAAAGTGATCTCAAATATACACACCTCAGCTTAACTGCGAAATGAATGTGGCTTATGTTTGCAAAGCTGATTTGAGGGGAACACACCAAATAACAGTATTTCTCAGGAAACTACAGCACATATATGGCTTGTGGCAAGCACCACATGTACACAGCTTCAAACACCAGCAGTGGGAGCGCAATGGAGCCTGAGTAAACAGCAATGTGTACACAGCCTATGACCACCAGCTCATCCTAGAGGGTCAAGGGTGAGCTCAATATTTCCCATCCTCCCCTCTCTCTCTTGCACAGGTGATTTGCTGGGAGGAATAAAACCCAAAGGTCACATTGTAGAATCAGGCACTGCTTGCGTCCTGGTAAATGAACAAAAAGCGAGCAAACAGCCTCCAACCTGTATCGTTTATTTCTCTTTTCCTCCCTGAATGTAAACAATGTAGGCTGTGATTTGGCTCAGGGCTGCTCGGCTTAGCTGTGCTTAGCATAATGGCTTGACAGCCTTGAGAAAATTAAAAGCTGGAACTCAGATTAAATTGTCAACAATTGCTCCTTTACATCTCTCTGTTTATGGGACAAAAGCTTAACTGAATCAGTAGACTGTTAAATTGCAGGAACCTATTCCAGCTGTTTCGTGCTTCTCTGCCTGTGATCCCTACGCTGCCTTGAGAGTATGGCTGGGACCCAAAGAGCAAGTTCAAGTATGCTGCAAGTCCTTGTGTGCCCAGTTGTGTTGCAATGGGGCAGTTAGGAAGCTGTGGCACTTACAGAGCAGATTCCCAGGGTATCCCAACAGTTTGCCATGTAGCCGTGGGGTGGGTAAAAGGCATTGAGGCAGAATGAACCATCTTTCCTTGGGGGCAAAACCATAGAATCATAGAATTGTAGAGTTGGAAGGGACCCTGATTGTCTTCTAGTTCAACCCCTGCAATGCAGGAATCTCAACTAGCGCATCCATGACAGCTGGCCATTCAACCTCTGCCTAAAAACCTCCAATGAAAGAGAGTCCACCACCTTCCGAAGGAGACTGTTCCACTGTCAAATAGCTCTTACTGTCAGAAAATTATTCATGATGTTTAGTCAAAATCTCCTTTCTTGTAACTTGATTTGGGTCCTACATTCTGGAGCAAGAGAAAACGAGCTTGCTCCATGTGACAGCCCTTAAGATATTTGAAGATGGCTATCATATCTCCTCTCAGTCTTCTTTTACCCAGGCTAAACATACCCAATTCCCTCAACTGTCCCTCCTAAGGCTTGGTTTCCCTCCTCTGCACATGTTCCAGATTGTTAATATCCTTCTTAAACTGTGGCATCCAGAAGAGAACATAGTACTCCAGGTGTGGACCCTTGTTCATCTTGGTTTGCCTCCTCTGCACAGATTCCAGCTTGTCAATATCCTTCTTAAATTATGTTTTACAGGCGACTGTATGACATGCTGCTGAAATCGCAAGTGCTTCCCTCCTCCCTGCTACGCCGTGGTTTGGAATACTGTTGTTTCTGAATGTAGCCTTGTGGTTTGTTTCCTTCCAAATGAACTATGAGCTGTGTCCACGGTTTGTTCTTGGCTTACTGCTTGAGATTTCTTTGGGGAAGGCAAACCACGAACCCAGGATCAGACATAACGAGACCATGACCTAGATCCTGGCAGCACTGCAGCACCCAGAGTCGTGGGGGAGCAAAGTGCATGTGCCTTCATTTCTCAGCCATAGTTTAGTTTAAGTGGTTTAAAGTGGCCTGTGAGTGTGGAATTTTGGAATAATTTTCAAATGTGCCTTATTTTCAAACCCAGCAGAATTCAGAGTATGGTACAACCACTTCCACATTCTGTCCCAACGAAAAGCACAAAGGTGCTTTTTAAAATAGAGTCTCAAAATAGAAGATTGGAAGAAAGATGGCATTTCTTAACGTTGCAAAGGTTTCCCCAGATAAGCCCTTGAGCCAATGAAGATTTATGCCAGTGTGATATAGATAAGATGGATAATGCCCGATCGTCCTCTTTGATAGCTGCATTCGCTAGACATAAAATAGGACAATGTTCAGACAATTCATCAGGGCAAGTATTAATCTTAATTTCTTATCATTCTGGAGGACGTGCAATGAGTAACTTTTCATGAAATACAGAGGTTAAAACTGGCTAGTTAACTGCTGACTCACCAAGATGAGTTTGGCCTATCAATCATGTACAGCAGCCCAATAAACCTGTCCCCTCCCCACCTCTTGAGGGGGAAAACCACTGATTGCCAAGCACCTCCTAGAATGGTTGAAAGGTTACGGTTGGTTTGGTGGGCCACAAGCTGTTTGCAGGAACAGTTCCAAGTCCCTATCTGAATGTACTAGCTTCCTTTGCTGACTTGAGATTCTGAGAAGTCTGGCTCTGAGGAATATCACATGATATTCTGGATCTCACAGACTTTGCCCCAAGTAAAGTTCTGTCTTATGCTTTCAGTGTCTGAAACTATCTTACCC